AATATATGAAATGAAGAAAAGTCACCAAAATATCCATATATATAATATATGAAAAGGTTTCCTTCTCTTTTGCCAAAGCCAAGAGTGTAACAAAAGGCTTCACAATAATATTTATTGTAACAGCTTAATGCAAAAAATATAGTTAAGTAATCTAGATTGCATCAAAAAAGGGAAGAGAATTCATAGACCCTGCCACTTTAGGTGAAGTACAGTGCACTGAAAAGGATTTTCCCATGCAGTTGGCATACCAGCAAAAAAGAAATGGAATAGAAATTATTATTTTAAACAATATACACCAGAGTTTAGAAATCTATTTGTGTTGTATGCATACAAACATAAATACTTTTGCCCTAAAAGGGTTCACCCATGTACTGTAATTGTTTTGTCTGTACCAACATAAATACTTCAGCAATGAAAGAATTAACGCGTGTACTGTAGTTGTCTTGTCAGTGAATACTTCCGCCCTGAAAGGGTTAACCCATGTACTGTAATTGTCTTCTCAGTAAATACTTCAGCAATAAAAGAATCAACCCATCATATACTGTAATTGTCTTGTCAGTGAATACTTCCAACCTGAAAGAATTAACCCATGTACTAGTGTAATTGTCTTGTCTGTACCAACATATATACTTCAGCAATGAAAGAATCAACCCGTGTTCAGTAATTGTCTTGTCAGTAAATACTTCAGCAATAAAAGAATCAAGCCGTCATATACTGTAATTGTCTTGTCAGTGAATAATTCAGCCCTGAAGGGTTAACCCTTGTACTGTAATTGTCTTGTCAGTGAATACTTCCGCTCTGAAAGGGTTAACCCATGTACTGTAATTGTCTTGTCAGTAAATACTTCAGCAATAAAAGAATCAGCCCAAATACTGTCACTGTCATTGTCTTGATAGTGAATACTCCTCCCCTGAAAGGGTTAACCCATGCACCGTGTGATCCTCCCAGGAAGCGGTGCAGTGCCTGACGGAGCACACCAACAAGATCAAGCTGGAGAACCGCGACCTGCGCCATGAGCTGCTGCAGCTCATCAAGACCACACGCGCCCTCAACGAGCACCGGCACATGCTGGAGGACCAGAAGAAACAGCTGCTGCGCGAGCAGAACTATGCCAACGACCTCAAGACTCTCCGGGAAGCCAGGCAGAAGAAATCCTTCAAGCCGCTAGAGTACCAGGACGACAATATGACCATGACGGAAGGGGACACGACGGTCCGTACTAGTTAAAAGTTGTAGTTACTGTATTATATTGTCATGATTGTAACACAATTTGTGCAAGTCATTTTTTGTCAGGGATATATTCACTGGTATGGTAAAAATGCCTGTTACTTGGTTTCATATTCTCGGCATCGCTACATTTAGTTTAATGTACTAAAATCCAATTATGTCAAGTCATAAGGTTAACTTAGATAAGCTCTGTTTTGGGTTGTTGTTTTTTTAAAAAGCTATCTGAAAAGAAAAAAAATGATGCGGGCGATTATGTTTGGACTGTGATGATAAGACGTAATGAGATGATGATTGCTTGAGAAACTAGATCTAGTAAAACCGCAAAATATTAAAAGTAAAAGGGGTAATTTCAGAAGCCAAAAGAACAGAATGAAAAAGATACAAGATGTGCATGTATATATAACCCGGGCCTTGTTCAAATTTCTGGCTTCAGATTATAAAAAGGAATTGTAAGTGGGGATACTATGGCGGGGGCAGGTTTTTCATTTTGATGAAATATATTTTCAGCCAGCGCCACCGAGATTCTAAGTGTGTCTACACCTAATTTTGCATAGCTTTTGTAGAACATTTGAGGATGAAACATTTTCTGACAGGTTGCTTTTTGACATAAGTTCTGAATTATTTCAATTAGAAAAAACTGAAATGGGAAGGTGGAAGACAGATAACAGAAAACATTTTTGTACGTTTGAGACTTACTGTATCATAATTTTCATAATCGACGTGGCATCGGTGGTGTAGTCATTAGGCTCTCACACTCTCAACCCTAGGGTTTTGGGTTCAAGTGCCATGAGACTAGTGAGAGGCCCGATGTAGTGTCCTTGAGAAAGACACTTTACACAAATTTTTCTCACTTCACCCAGGTGGGTATTGGTACCTGGCTAAAGAAGCGAAAGATCATGACAATTTGTTTGTGTTTCAGGGCATGTAATTGGCAGTTTGCACTGTATGCTTCCTGGAAAACCAAGAATGTTTCTGAGTGCTCTTGTGTTTGCTAGGGTGATAATAGTTGTAAAGCAGATAGAGCAGGAATATGTGCTCTATACATTAATGCAATTATTATTATTAATATTGTATTCAGTTGCCAAAATGTGTAAATGTTGGAGGCAATACATTTGTCTCATTTCGTGTATCATGTACATAATATGGAAAGCATCAACTTTGTTGAAAGATATGAGAGTGAGCAGCAAAAAATGAGCAATAAAAATCAAGACTCAAGAAATCCATCATGTTGATTTGTCTTGGTGTGACTCTTTATTTTGCATTTGACATAGACAAGTTCAAGAGCTGTGAGATGCAGTTATTTTATTTTATTATTTTTTTTAGTAGAGGGTTTTACGGCGCTCGCAACTGCATAAGGTCATATGAACGCTAAGGGGTGGGTGTCAACAGAGAAGTACTTGCGCGGAATCAGACTTACTCTGCTCACCTCTCTAGCTTCAACAGCACAAGGTCTGCTTCGACTATCAAGGCACCCCGGAAATAGCGGGTCACAAGAGAGTGACAAACATACAAAAGAAGTAGAGGTAATGACAATAGTATATAATTAAGGATTAGGAAAGAAAAAGCAGCAGTTCCCTGTTGCAGATTAGGCACAGTTATGAACGTGACATGATGAATCAGCCCATTTACAATTCTACTGTGCTTGAACGAGAAATGTCCCTCCTTTGGGAATGGCCTAAAGACACGATGGTTAGTGGCACTGCCCCGGGGGGTAGATGCAGTTAGGGCTGGCGTAGGAAGAGATAGGAAGTAGCAATGGCACAGGCAATGAATGAATGAAAGAGACTAGTACAACAACATAAACCTCTTGACACATGATTCAGTTTAGCTTTGGTAAACGTTTTACGGCACTTTGTAAGTTTGTTGAGTAAAGAGGAGAACAATAATGGTCATTTAGTGCAGGGAAAAAGTAAAATAGACAAACGGAAACAACCGAGGGAAAGAGAAGAAGTTGGAGCTACCATGATACCAGTGGTGCCCCCAAACTATCCGTTTATGGCACTTGCTGCACCAATAAGTCATATAACCACAGAAAATGAGACCCTTTACTAGAGAGTAACATCCAAAGAAAAGAAGGAGAGATGAAGACGACAGATGTTTGATAGCCATGAAGAAGTAAACCACACCAAAGCGCCCGCCAATGATCCGCTGAGACTAATGTGAAATAACCGTTTAATTTTTTTGTTTAAAAAATGGTTAATTGCCAAACAAATGTGTATAGTAATTTGTTCATTATTTGATATACTTGTCAAGGACATGACAGTGATAGACAAAAAGAACCAGAGTCTGTGGTGCAGCAATTAGGTACTTTGATGTCACATGCGGGAGACCTGAATCTGATTCCTGAGCAGGGACAATTTTTATGGAGTATCTCTGTCTTTAAGCTGGGGTGTTGTTTCTCTCTCAGCCTGGGTTGGCCCTTGCAGGTATGGTTGGAAGCCCGCCTCCTAAATTGTCTAAATTGTGTTGATGGGGGCGCTAAAACACCTACATTTAATACAAAAAGGATTTTATGTATAGAGCACTGAAACAAGACAATGAACAGAATTACCAGTATAGCTATCCAAAACACATGAATCATATTTTCATCTCTTACAAGTTACAGTAATTGCTGAACCTGAACTGAACTTGTGAGTAATTTAAAACCCTGGATAACACATACATATTACAGAATAACATTCACAAAAACATTTTCAAGGTCACAGGTACTAGAAAAGCTTCCCTTGAATACCACAGTCTCAACCCACACTTTGTTCCGTCACAGCTATTTTAGCATCAGAAAAGAGTTATAGACACATTTGTAAATTAAACTCCCACAATGTTCCCTGCTCTCTGCCGTATTGCAACAACCATAATACTCTACACAAAGGTTCCAATCGTGTCACGACGTATCGCCATCGTTCATCTGACCGTCGTGAGAAGCTGCCTGTTTGTGACTGTTCAGGACGTGTCGACAAAACCCAAGTGACACCAGGAGGCAGCTGGCATATCTTTCTTTAAAAATATCCGTCGGTTGTCTGTGGTATCTTTTCCACAGCATGGGCTCAATCTCCACGTTTTCCTCAAAAGTCCCGTCTTCGATGCATTTGACCACGTGCTGGCTACTCACACGCTCCCCGCCGACCCGGAGGTCAAACGCCTTGATCGTGAAAGAGTCCTTGACATTGAACAGCTTGTGCTGTCCAGTCGTGGGGAGGTCGACATTTATCAAGGTTTGGACAGCCATCTGGAGGCGGCTGACAAAGAGAAGGAGCTGCATGTAGCTTGGCGTGAGTCGCCGCGCCACCCGGCTCTCGATGACGTAGACGCTCGACTTGGGCAAGCAGCTGACAATGTCATGGGCCTGAAAAGGAGTTTAGTTATAGTGCGTGTTTTATGCTACTTTTAACTCTTTATCTCCGTGTGTGTGTGTGTGTGTGTGTGTGTGTGTGTGTGTGTGTGTGTGTGTGTGTGTGTGTGTGTGTGTGGTAAACCAACTATGCCGAGGCCTCTTTTTGGTACTAAATCTAAAAATGACGAAAACTTCACTAAATTGGTCACTAAATCAAAACAAGTGAACCTATTTTGATAGTTCTTCATCTCACTAATGAAATCCTGAAAAAAGAGACTTTTTTCGGCAGTAGACGAAAAGTAATTTGATGTCGAAGTCGTTGTAAAGGAATGTGCTCGAGCCACCGCTGTGGCTCACCGGCACAGCAGTGGAGATAAAGAGTCAATGTATTTTTTACAATGTAGGTGTTTTACTGCCTTCATCTACACAAGTTAGCTTTAGATAATTCAGGAGGTGGGCTTCTGACCCTGCCGGCACGGGCCAACCTGGGTTGGGAGGGATACAACACCTCAGCAGAAAGACCAAGATACATGTCATCATCATCAATGCCTTTCACCCCTGGCAGGGTATAGGCCACATACAAGCTCCTTCCATTTATCTCTGTCCTGAGCCATCCTTCCAAGCTCGTTCCAAGTGAGCTTCATTTCTCTCATGTCCCTTTCCACGCATCTCCTCCATGTTTCCCGTGGCCTACCCCTGCCTTGTGCTCCTTGTGGGTTCCACTGCAGTGACTGTAAGATACATGTACTGGATAAAAATTCTCCCACCCCGAGAGTCGAACTTGGGAATCCTGTGTATGATAGCAAAGCACCAAACAGCTATACCACAGATGCCAGTCATAAGTATAAAAATAATTATTTGTTTTGGTAAGTTTTACATACTTGCAACAAATCCGATACAGTCGAACCTGTCTTAACGGAAACCTGTGTGAAACGGAAACTTGTCTTAACAGAATCCACCCCCCCCCCCCCCCCCCGCTCCCCCTTTAATATGTTCCCTCAGCTGCTGACTAATCATTTTATGGAAAAAGTTTCATACCTGTTCCAGTATTTCTGCAGCTGTTTGTTTTTGATAGTGAGACCCGAGCAGAGGCAAATGATCCCAATCAGTGACCTCCAGATCTTTGTTCACGGTAGAGAAGTATGCAGAGTCTATGCAGATTTCTATACATGTAACATCATCTATAGTCTGGTGAGACAAAGGCCAAGAAAAGAGAGAAAAAACATTTATCTACCTGACAGGGAAATAATAAGACACTAACAAGGCAAAAAGTTTATTATATCAGAGGTGCAATCTGGTTATGAAAAAAATATTCTAACTTTTCGAATGCATGGAGATGTGCGCTCGAGGACTCAAAATTAACAAATGTCTAAATATTTTGCACCAAGACTTAAAAAAATAAATAAAAATTGTACATATTATTATGTAATGTTAAAAACCTGGACCATTTCAGAATCCTGATTTATCCAGAAAATTGGCACTCTGTAAAAATCATTCAAGTGAAAACAGATTACACTAAAAGAAAATGGAAGGGGCAAACAGTGGGAGGCAGCCAGATAACTGCCTTTAACAAAATAATGGGCCAGTGCCTGAGACACAAAAACACTCAATACAGTATCAATACAAAAGAAACATGTACTTTAAAGAGACATGGTAGATATAAAACAATATGTTGGGTAGACGTTTCACTTTGAACACTTTACTTTATTTTGGACTCAAAAGCAACCCCTTTCTTACTTTAAAAAAATGTACCATCTCTTCCTTTTTTATACATAAAAAAAAAAGGAAATTGATTTTTTAAAGTTTTAGTTTTAGTAGAGGTCTTATGGCGCTCGCAACTGCATACATAATAAGAGCGCCAGAAGGTTAGAGGTGTTACAAGAGAGTAACAAACATAAAAAAGGAGAAAGGGAGATAAGGACGATAGATGGGTTGTTTTTTTTATAGTAGAGGGTTTTACCGCGCTCGCAACTGCATAAGGTGAGCGCCATGATAGATGTTTCATAGGAAAGAAGAAGCAAACCACAAAAGAGCACCCACCAACCACCCACATTGATTTTTAAAATTATAACATTGAAAAAAAAAAGCGTACAACAGCAATAAAACAGAATAATATGTTTATGCTCAAATTATGGTCCATGCAATGAAAGAGTAAGATCACCAATAATTCCACACCTCACCTTCACAAATTCTGGACTCAGAAGAGGACTAAAATATTTCAGGTCTCGATCTAAAGACCCTCTTTGAAGTTCCACCTCGTCGACACCTTTTCTGAAGTTCTCACAAACAGCGCTGAAGGTTTTCAGCCCAACCTTCTTCACTTTGTTCAAGTCTTCCAGACATGAAAAGAGTCCATTTTCCTCTCTGTGTTGACAAATCTCAAAGGCTATGGTGGCAGACAAACTTTTGCCCGATCTGAAAATAGAAAATAGAAAAAAAGAAAATTCTTATGAAGGCACAACCAGTATAAACGAAAATCTGCAACAACACTCTGGTTATGGCTTTTTCAGGAAAAAGGGTTTGGACTCAGTTTAGTTTTAGTAAGAGTTTTACGGCACTTGCAACACAATAAGGTCATGTAAGTGCAGAAGATTAAAGGTGCTACAAGAGAGTAACTTCAGTATTAAACAGCCTATCGGAGTCTGTTGGATTGAGGATCCACCCCGGAAAGTCAAAGGTACTAAGGACAGATGCACAACGAAAGG